ATCCTGACAAAAAAGATTACGAAAAGCGAGCTTTCGATACTGCATTGTTTAAATTCTCGTTATATTGACTTTAAACTCAAGGTTAATACTCAAGGTTTGATCATATATTCGCTAGAAGGTTGTCCAATATTCTTAAGCAGTTTTTTTCATTTCGATAAAGATGGGAGTTATGCCTTTAAGGGTAGAAAATAACCATATTTTAGCCGCACTATTGTAAGAAAAACAGCGAAGAAAAATCACCAGAAGCCATTGATAAAAATCAGAGGAATACCTTGCACACATACAAACAAACAAACATACATATGTGTATACTAACAAGGTCTTTTTTGATTTCAGAGATCTGCTACAGATTTTGGAAACTATGTGTCACGACGTGCTAGCACTTAAAAATGCAACAGCGATATTAGAATGTATACTAGAAGTGATGCATCGAATGCAGGGCTATCGCCGACGTTAAGCCACTGCTTGTTTGTGTATAAATACAAACGCATACAACAACAAATTTGGAATGCACACATTTAGTGTGAAGCTGAGCGACGTGTGTAAGCGCATACTTACCGTGCATACCCAAGCAACATACACGGATACATGTGTATGTGTATGGATTTTTGTATGTATGTGCTGCCTTGACGACCCACGGTGCAACGAGCTGCACTTAAGCTGGCTTAAAGTGTTAAAGGATAACATTGGCAAAAGGATAATAATGTGTATGCATGTGTAATATAGCTAAGCGATCAGGTGCTATGCAACGCCCATGTTAGCACACACACACCAACACAGAATCGAAGACATACAAACACACATACACTCACAACACTTTACTTTCGTGCAAAAAGCGAGTGCACGGAATTTGTTTGCATATCAGCAGCTGAGTGTCACTACAAGCTACCCCAAGTGGTGGCATGACTGCTGTGTTTGTTGTTGTTTATAATGCTGCCATATAGCAAATATAAATAGGAGCAGAGGCACGTGCTATTGCATGATTGTAGGGTGGTATGTGCCACTCACTTGACCAACGTTCTAAGGCGCCGTTTTCTTTACACTTTCGATTCGCAGATTTCGCTTGCGAGTTAAAGTGGAAATATTTGCTCGACCCGAGTTATTTTGCGCAGCAAATGTGAGCGTTGCACCAACTCTAACGGACTGCTGCCACATACCGAGGACATAAAATTTCGCAAGTTTAGAATTTCTATTGAAATTCCTGCATTTTGCTATCGTTTTAGACAACTTTGCGCGCTGCCTACTTTTACCTGCTTTTGGCAAGTTGCTTCCATTGCCATCACACTGTGAAGCTCACTGAGTGACTGGCGGGCTTCCATTTTATTAGCCAGCTTCTCGAAAATTTCTAAAAATTCAAGTTTAATTTAATTTTGTTGTTGTTTTAGTACCATATATTGACTACTTAACTGCCAGTACGTAAATAAGCAAATAAATGGAAACGAACTGGCCGAGAGCTGCACACAAGCGTTCGTTTGGAAACCCTTTAGGCTTCTGTTAACCGATGGAAGTATTTTTTCAATTATGCTACCGGCAAGGCTACATAAATTTTCCCAAAAAATTACCATGTTTACATTTTGTTGGAGTTTTTCATTTGCACTCGTACGCTAGATTTAGCTCAAACAACAACATTAAATGTGCAGAGTTGCCTCCGTAAAAAAAAACAAACCAAAGCAAATGATGTCCGAGTGCTACCAATGGGAATGAAAAAATGGAAAATTTTAGCGAAGTTCGATGATACTCCTTTTGTCACGAGTTAAGAAAAATTGTAATCAAATATTTGCGAATACAAAAGCAGGAAGACAAGAGTAAGCTAATCCCTGCTTTTATAATACATATCCACATAGGTAAATTTTTTGAGAAGTGGCAACTCTGTTTTGTTGACCTAATGGTTGTTTGTATCCCCTAAAACTAATCGAGATAGATATGGAGTTATGTATGTATATACAAATGATCAGGATGTATACAAATCAAAAAAAAATCAATGTATCCGTATAAAACTTTCCACGAATAGTGCCTTGAGATGTGCCATTTTATGACCAAAAATTGTCCAAGTCGGATTTAGATACCGAATATGCGGACGCCAGTTCCCATTGCGAATTTTTTTCCGCAAATATTGGTCAACCTGTCAGATATATTACTGAAATTCGAAAATAATTTTTCCGGCTTTCATTCTAGCAAGTTGCGAGAGTATAAAATGTTCGGTTAAATTCCAACTTAGCCCTTCCTTACTTTTTATTTTTCTACCACACAAATGTTTAATACGTTACAGTTTAGAAAGTTTTAGAAAGATGGTAGCTCTATGTTCTTTATTTTTAACCCTTTTAATTATTATATACCATTTCGAAATAAGTATATATATAGTAATAGTTTTTTTCGACTTTTTAGGTTCATTGTTTTTTTTAATTTTAGTATGGTGGCAACTCCATATCAGCATCGGTTTGCTATATTTTGAAAGCTTGTACTCTTTTTAAAGTAATGTGCCATAGCTCTAACACATAACAATTTAATTTTGTTTAAATGCAGCTCTTTAGAAATATGGCAACCTTGTATTATATATTTTCATACCCTGTGAAAAAACTTAAAATTTTTTTTTATCAAATGTGGTTAAAAACTCATGTTTTCAAAGTGTTCGAAAAGATTTAGTCTTCGAAGACTCGGATTTCGATTAATCTCGTTATCGATTAATTTTGATTAAAATTACACTCTTTATAATTTTATAAAGAATTTAAATCCAAACAATAATTTTTGTGGTTTTAATTTAAGATTAAGAATTTTGCTGTCAGCACTAACCCCCCCCCCATATCAATATGTCTAATTTCCTCACTGGACGGTTACTAAAAATAAATTGTCCTTAACTACAAACAGACCCCCAGCGCAACACAAAGACACAATAAACACCAGTTAAGCGCAAACAAACTCGGAAAGAGTCCAGTCGAAGTTCCGAAAATGTGAATTTTATTGCAGCAAAAGTTATTGGTCTTTAAGGAAGCAAAGTTGTAACTTAATAAATTGCAAGTTTTAAGCAGACAACCACTGTCAAATTGCGTGCGCCCTTCCACTAGTCAAGTACTTTGTATTTTTATTTTTGCTCATAAACTTATATTTGTTTAAGTTTTCGCAGAAAATACAAATTGCTTCTTTGAAAATGGCCGTGCAAGTAAGAGTTAACTTTCTTTAGTGGATAGTAATGAATGAACATGTTTATAGTATGAGTTTATGAGTGAAGAAGAATATTTGTGGACTATTAGCGCCCATAAGGGAGGAGACAGAGACGTATGGTTCAACTGTTCTCTACACACAAAATTAGTGCTCGGCTTCTTGGCAAAAAATTAGAATTTGAAAACAATAAAATAGTTATTATCTTGAATTCTATTTAAGAGACCACGTGCTTACGTATGTGTCATTAAGGTTGTATAACTTCTTTCCAAACAATCTCTGTTTGCTTATGCCAGAGGTATGTTCGATTCGCCACCATACAAGTTTTGTATATTTGACTATTTACTAAAAATAGTTCATAAAAATTAACTAGTTTCGACTTTTGGCTTTCAAATATTATTGTTTATAATAAGTATAATGAGTTCCAAAGATCTGAGACACAATATAATGAGAAAATTGTTAAAAATATAGTATATATGCATATGAGATTTTGGGTCCAAAATTAAGTCAAAGAATTCAGGAAACAGTTTTTAAGGCTTTGAAAATATTTCTTAGCATAATTTAAGCCCCACAACGGCCACTTACATCATTCCGCTTTGAATTCAGTTGAATATCGGATTGCAAATCTCAATAACTAAACTCTCTTCTTGTTATTTTAAACTCATTATATCAAGTTGTGAATTTCAAAAAATTGATTTTTTTTTGCGTACATATCGAATATACATACATATATTTGAGAATATTCTCCGCTCCGAAAAATAGTGTCGGAAATATGAGCGTATTTTTAAGAATTTTTTAACTCAGTGTAAACGGCTTCCAAAAACTGTAAACGGGTTTTTCTCGAAACGCTGTTTTGAGAGTCGGCGTGGAAATGCTCTTATAAACAGCTAAACTGATCGTCTTGATCTTCTTAGATATATTTATATTCTTATTTTTTAAGCCACTTTGGTATGTAAATTTGTGGCAAAAAAAAATGTTTTTTTGGAAGCCATCATTTTGTCCAAATTTAAAATTTTGACAAGTCCTCCGAGCATTACCTGTGTTCATCGGTAGCAATAATATGTTTTTTTTTTGTTTTTTTTGGATTTGAGATTATTTTAAGCAGAAAAATCGTTCTCACCGCCAGACACCCTTTTCGGTGGAGGTCGCCTACATTAAATTCTCTATATGTACATTAATTTTACTTATTTATTACATAAAATGCCTCTTCAAAAAAACTCACAAAAACGCGTTTTTTTGGCATGCATGTGGATTTAAACCTAACCTAAAGAAGAATTGCCATCACATTTTTCATTAAAGCGTCAAACAATCCTCAAAGGAATGTAAGGGCTGACACATATGCTTTACAAAGCAATTTTTCTTATTATTACGAAGGTAAGTTTCGTTATATGCCGTTAGTGTTTGGAATTTGGGCGCAAATTTAGAGCGTCTTCAAAGTGTTGGTTCAGATGTTTTAAAAAAAAATTATTTTGAACATACTTAAAAACAAAAAATTGAAATAAATATATTTTATTCTATAACCGTAAATATTCTGCAACTTTAGAAATAAAAATTTATTTTGCGGCAACTGATAGCGACAAAATACACTTTTCTAATCAAATTGCGAGCAACAACATTATCAAAGCCATTCTTACATATTCAGCATATCAGCTATAAATATCGCAGTTTCATTTCAATACAATGGAGAACATTTCAAAGCCCTTTAGCATTTATGTAAATATAAACTGTCTGGTACGTGACAGAAGTAACGCTACCATTCAGAAGCTTCAATTGGCACAGATACACGCTGTAAGTTGCCAAAAGGAAGTTACTAAAATTATTTACAGACACACAAAAACACTTACACAACACCGTTATGCACACATGTACGTTTGTTTAATTGAAAACAAGAACAAAGCGACAAAGTTATCGTTAGGTATTAAGGGAATAAAACTTGCGCGCGCGTTTCAGACGTCCCCAGAGCCGCTGGAGGAGTATACGATAGGCGTAGGCACAGCAACAGTAGAGAGTGAAAGTGAAAATTAAAGGAGAAAAAAACCGAAATGTACGACTTCGAAGATGCAGAATGTTGCATAAACTGTCACTTAAGGAGAACAACAATAACAAAGGCAAGCGTGTCACATTATCGTAGCTGGATTTTTCTCTTTACACAAAATTCTTTTCAAAATATTAACACACATTTTCGTGACACTTTTTTTCACGTCGTATTATTTGCTTAATAGAATTTTTCACGCTTGACAATCAAATTGCAACCGATACCGAGATACAACGACGCGCGAGTATAAATACAGCGAAAACTTCACATTGGCTGCAAGAAAATGAAGTTGCCACACGCACCGACACACCGTCACACAAACACCTACACACGCGAACGCGCGCGTACACAATGTGCTACGCGGCGTATAAGTGTTAAAAAAAAAAAAAAACAGTTGCACTCCTTCAAATATGTGGACCGTGGTATCAATTTGCTTTGGTATTAGTGGTATTTTTATGTTGCTGCTGCTGCTGCTGTTGCACGCTGCTTCAGCAGTTTCCCGAATGCGTGACGGCCGCTTTTTCGCACTGTAGACAACAACTAACGGTAAACAACTGAAAACATCGACCATCAAATAGCGCGTCGAAGCCAAAAATACGATACGACGACGAGGCAAAGCGAAGCGAACACCGCAACAACAATCAACACAAGCAAAATATACAAAATACCAATGCGAAATATAGACACAAGCACACACAGCCAAGTTCTCGCAACAAAAATATATTTATGTATATGAGCTCGTCGGCGCTCGAAGGATATGCCGAAGCCAAGTGTAAGCCAATACAACAGCAAAGTTGGCTAGGCAAAAAGAGGTGAGGGTAAGAAGAGAAAGCAAGAAGTAATGGTGGCAGCAGCATGTACGAATTGCCGACAGTGCGACTCTGAGAGCATACATACTTACTTGATTACCAATAGTACCATCAGCAACAAAAACCACATACATATGTATGTACAATAAGCAGTATTAAATAACGGTAGACCAAGTTAGCACGCAATCCCATTAGAATTACCCCAACACTGAAATAGCTGCTGCGAGAATTTTCGGCCTGTTGGGTGTAAAGCTCTGAATAGGCAACATTATACCAGAGAACGTAAATGAACGAGAAGGTGCAAATTGAATTTTGTTTTTCTAAGTTCTCTGATTATACAACGACTGAAAGCTTTCGATGGTTTTGCCGCCAAAAGCTAAGTGCGAAAAAGCTCAAATATCAAATGCACAAATTCGAAATGTGTTGGAGCTTTCTCACAAATATGCTGGGTATTTGTAGAGTGGCGCTCAAACATACTAGCGTTCAGAGCGAAATCACTGCATTATCGGCATGAGAATAGAAAAAAGATACCAGGCTTAACTAGTAACTTAAGAAATAGCAAAACGAAGACAAAACATCGAATTTTTGGAATTTTGTTTCTAGGCAAACAGATTTACACATATGTATGTATGTATGCGAGTGTGTTCAAAATATATATTGAAAGCACAATTAATAAAAAAAAAATTGCTTTATGTGAGATTTTAGACCTGCTCAGTAACATAGAAATTTATTTCAACAAAATAATTAAGAGACAATTTCAAAAGGATATGTATATACATATTTCTTAGATTTAGGAATTTGAAAAATATAAAATTGCTTAAATGAATTCTCGAAATCTTTGGCTGCTTTGACCAAAAACGGTTCACCTTCTTCAAAAAGGAAGCCATAGAGCTATCATTTTTTGGAACCAACTGAATCAACAATAAAACTTTTGTCATTCAAAAATGGTTGGAAAACTCTGCCTTACCAATATGTGCACTGATGGACAAAATAATAGATATGCGGTTGGTATCTGAGTGGTTCAGGGATGCAAATGTGACCTGTATGCAATGACCTAGTCAATCCCCTGATCTCAACCCGATTGAGAACTTGTGGAGTGACCTTAGATTGGCAGTCTTTTTATTTCAAAACAAGCAGCAATTGTGACGGAAAGCAAAGGAACTTTGGGATCCTACCCTATTAAAAACCTGCCCAAAATGAATTCAATCCATGCCGAATAGAATTGGAAAACTTATGAAAAACCACGGAGGATATACAGGTTATACAGATTAAAAACCCATGAACCGAAAAATGGATAACTTGCATTATTTGATTTTATTTGGAAAAAAATATTTTACACCAATTATTTGAACAATTTATATTTCTTAATTACAAAAAAAAATCAGTTTTAAAATTCGGAATGAAAGATTTTCGACACATTTATGTTTAATAAAGTAAAGCGTAAATATATCTAAAACAAAACCGTTTTAATTGCAAATACTTCAAAGTAATTAAATAAAAACTGTGTACACCTATTATTTTGTCCATAAGTGTATATCTTTGACCCATTTTAAATTGATAGCAAAATGTTCTGTTCCCAGCGCAGTTTTACTTTGTTATTCCAAGATAAGAGCCGAATATTGGCAAAGCATGGTTAAAACAAGCTTGAATTCAAAATTTCTTCGGCGAGGGAAATCTCCACTTGCCTATTGGCTGTCCATAAAATATAGCTATGAACACATCTATGTGGTTCGTAACCTAGATGGATAGAACCACGACCACAAAAAATCTAAATACTAATTACCCTCAACCGTCCACTACTTCAAGGGTATTTTTCACTAAATAAGCAAACAGTCTAGGGTCTTGGGAATGAGCTCCATTTGTCTATAAAGGCAAATAGAATTTTTTGCATAAAGTCAAAGCAAACACGCCAATACTAGGCTGATAACGTCTGCAGTTGAAACTTCTACGACGCTGTTGTGGCTTGAAAGAGGTTGAGCATGTTTTCACAATTTTTGACAGTGTTTTCAATGTTATACCCAAAGTGCGACTGAAAAGTATACAGTTTCGGACTGAATTTACCACGAATGTTTTTTAGTTGGGGTTTATAAGTTAGTATCTATCCAGTTATTGTTTGATGCATATTTAAAAATAAAAATTGGACACAAGTAATTACCGACAATGAAAATATGGCATGTATGAAAAGATAGTTAATGCTCATTCAATAAAAAAAAATTGCAGTAAAATTTGTGGGTTAAAAATTTCACACTTTTCTATTCTAATTATTTATGCTTTCGTTTCCCTAGGTTTTTCAAATCTGCGTGAAAGAATTCGTTTGTTATATTTCTCATTTAAATCGGAATAAAGAACAATATTTGCTCAATCAATTAACACACTCAAAGCGATATCTTAACATTTTCTTAAAAGGCTTTTGTGCTAATTTCAAAATTTTTAATGGTAAGTATAAGTAGACATATTTTTTTAAATCTTACAACACATCTTACTCTATGTTTGGTCTAGAACTATATTCGAGAAGAACAACCATATATTTATTAACTTTACAGCGCTCTCTCGCTCTCAGTACCCATGTAAACTCAACGTGTCGATAAAGCAGTGCTTATGTCTTTGCTGTTGCTGATGGTAGTTAGTTTTTAGTGCTATTTTTTTTGGAAAGCATGTGCGGCGTGCAGAAACTATTAGTTAAAATGTGTTAAAAATAACTCAAAGATATACTTACAACAAGTGTTTATAAGTATATTGGTGTTAGCAGCAATTGGCTCCAAGGAGGTTAGTATACAAAGAATGAATAAGATGGCTTGTAAAAATACTGTTAATCCAAAAAGTAATGTTAAAAATTTAATTGTGCTGGGGAAGAAGTTTCGCTTCTGATCAATATTGTATGCATATTTTTCAAAATTTCAAAACAAAGTATTTTTTATTGTACAATTTGGCAGTTCATTACTGTATGACAATAAGTATGTAATGCGAAAAAATAAGTGGAATAAAAAAATATGTAATATATTTTAGAAAAACGTCAAACAGCTAAATATGGGAGCTGAAAAAAATACACTAAAGATCAAATTTGACCCGGACTGTACCATATAAACTGCGCGCGCAAATCGAATCAATAACATTTTTTTTGCCCACGTTGGTACACTTTTTTATGTTAGTGTGAAGTTCGATCTGCATATGTCAAATAGGGTGTGTTTAGTAGGTATTTGTTTACGACGCGAAAAGTTTGTCTACCAATTTTATGTATAGTATTGGGTCAATGGACTCAGAGCGTATTCCCCGAAGCGTATTTTTCAGTTTCGAAAACAGAAAAAGTCACAGGGCGCCAAATCCGGCAAATACGGTGACTGACCGAAGTATCTCATTTCGAGTTTACTGAAAAAGTCAGTCACAATCCGGCATTGCCACGTTTTATACCCAAATAATTAACAAAACTGTGTGAGCCGATCCATAAAAGATGTTGACAGCCTCTGCAATCTATCGAATGTCAACACGACGATTTACAAGCATTGTTTTTTTTTTAACTTTTTCGAAGTTATCGTCATTAACAGAGGGGTATCAGCGACACGCATGAAGCAAGCTTTCGATTACTTCACGACCTTCACTGAATGCTTTATGCCACTCAAATATTACTAGTGTTCATCATAAAGTAGACTCTTCAAAGCAATTCTGATGTGTAATGTGGGTCAAATTTTATCTTGAGATAATTATACCTGTTTTCACGTTTCTAAATCTTATTCTTCATATAAAAAAAAAAAAATACAACATTTCAATCGCTTACCTCCTTTTGTGAACTCACTTCAAAATTGTAACGGAAATGTCTCGCAATTTCTATTTCTATTATTCTTGGATAAATAATTATACTTAAGTAGAGGAGTAGCACCCTTCACTGAAGTATCAAAAAATTTGTTGTGCTGCAACGGCTGGTGACGGCATTAACTTATCATTACAGATATAATGCATACAAATTTAGTAGACAGTCGATATCTAACATAATAAGGGGAAAACCATAAAGGTTTCGTCATAAAATGCACTGCTAATGTTTGAGGTACATTATAGTTTCAATCAAAATGGAGTTTAGAAGTTACATACTTACTTATTTTAAATAGAAATTATTTATAATTTTACGAGAATCATAAATGGTAATGTAAACAAGAAGTAGGGGCAATAAATTACATTTCATATGAAAAGTATATTGTAATATTTACCTTTTCTTATAACAATAACATATAGAACTTGTCATCGTAATAGTTACTTGAAAGATAACTACACTCAGTTTTGTATATGAAGACTCACCTGAAAATATAAGAAATATGGAAAAGTTTTGAATTGGCAAGAAAAATTAAGCAAAAAATATATATAAATATAATATTATCAAAAAATAAATATTAAAAGCGGCGCCAAAAACAATTTATATGTATATATACATATTTTAGCAATATCATTCTGTATTTATTTTCATATTAAAAAGCAATCAAAACAAAAAATATGGTGAAGTGGTATTTGCAAAGTTCATTTATTTTTAACTTCAATCCTTCATTGCACTTGAAATGAAGTTGCGAACAAATAATGGTTGTGAGGTGACACCTCCAGTTTTTACAACACAAAAAGCCAAATGCCATACTTCATACGAGTGGTAGTGCAATAAACTGACAAGTAGCAAAGCAATGTGTGATAATTATTGTTTGCTGTCAAATAAATTATGACAACAATTTACCGCCACAAAAGCGGTATGTCATATTTGTGTGCTCTCCGTGTTGTTGGGGCAACCTTAATAAAATATGATG